AAAAATGAAAATTCCATTTGCTCGGCGCTAGCACCGCGTTATTGTGGGATGCTCCATACAAATTGTACGCGCATGAGGATTTTTGACAGTTTGGTGCTTGACGCGCCAATTTAGGGACGGCAGTCGGAAACAAACCCGATTCCGATTCGAATCGGATTGCAGAACATACGAGTTCCAGCTTAATTCTCTCAATTTCCCGTTCTTCCTCTTCCTGATAATTATAGCTGATGCCAGATAAAACTTTGTTGCGACTTTTATAACTTTGCCAGTAAGGTGCCAGGCGCAAAAGGCATGCCACAATGAACGCCAAGAAAACAATTTTTTACTGCTTTTTTACTCGTCAAAATTACTGAGGATTTTATATATTTTGCTTTAAAAATATCAGCAATGTAATTAGGTTTTATATTTCTACGTAAAATCTCGAAACAATATAAATATTAAACGGGCCGATTGTCAAAGCGCGCAAAAAGATGGTAGTTGGTCACCTTTTCGCTTCGCGCTGCAGCTTCAACGATCTATGTGGCATGCTTTGTGCATTTTCATACAATTCATCTTATCTGCCAACGCGAATCCGTCACGTAAAGCGAAGCAAAAGTTTTATGTAGCATCACCTTTTCTGGTAGAAAAGTAAAGAAACAAAGGTGCTATCGAGAATTAAGCTATCGATAGTTTAGCAACATTAAACAGCTGATTTACTCGTAGTTTTTCTGTAATACTTTTTAATAGAAATACATATATCGACTGTTCAAATAACGATGTCAAAATTACTGTCCATGAATTTAAGATCAGGTGAAGCTGCGCGTATATTTGCACGTTTGAAAACAAATCCACCAACATGCAATAATTTAGTGCAAAATAATTTGGAGCAACGACAACAGTTCCACCTTACGCCATGCTGTAGTGAAATACGTAAATTGGCACGATTACGTGTTGTAGACAACAGTGAAATAGGTAAACGTGCCATGGCAGAGGGCAAACCACCACGCTGCATTCATGTTTACAACAAACGTTCTGTGGGCTATATTGGAGATAAGGTGCTTGTTGCTATCAAAGGGCAAATGAAGAAAGGAATTCTAGTTGGATTGAAACAGAATCAGAAGCCTAAAATTCCAAAGTTTGATAGCAACAATATAGTGCTAATTGATGACAATGGCAGCCCGCTTGGAACTCGTATACACGTTCCTATCCCGACGATATTACGCACTATCCTCAAAGAAAAAACTCAAGCTAAAGGAGCAGATTATACGAAAGTCCTAGCTATAGCAAGCAGATTTGTTTGAGAGGCTATGTTATTCACCCTTAAAATAAAGTAAATATTCTTAGTTTCTATGCTGAAAAAAAAAACAAAATGGTTTAGTTTCATGTGGCAATAAATTAAGCTTTTTAAGCACTTATATATGGTCATTATTACATAGTTGGGCGTTTTCTCGTTTGGTCCGGTGAGGTATTCTCTCCCCCATAATCCAGTTGATCTCTCTTACGTTTTTTGCTATGCTCATGCACCAATTCACTGACACTAATTTTATGAGATTTCATTTGCAACCAGTTTGTGAACTAAACGAAAATATGTGTTAATAATTTTTACGAACATATTGTAGTTGTTCATTTATAATCCTACCAGTGTATTTGTTTTCACACCAGATTCATATAATTTCTGTTCTATGTCGTCCAAACGATGCTCTGGTTTTCCATCCTCAGAGGTACTCTTTGATATGTCGAGCAAATGTCTTACACGTTGTCTCATTGTTTCAAACACAATTCGGCCGACGATATGATTGCGATCATAAGGTGTCAAATATCGTCCATACTCATAAAAATAAGGATGTAACCTGCCCAGCTCAATGTGTGTAGTTTCTGCTTCACATATCGCTTTATGTACATTTTTGTAGATATCCGGGACATTTACTGTAAAATATGGATTGCTAACCTTTAGTTCCTTTATGTACCACAATGGCAAATTCACTGTGCGTCCAGTATTTAAATCATCCGACTCAGCACCCGGATCTAGGAAACCTGTGCAATAAAAGTCAAATGTCACTATATTACGTTCATGGGCTACCGTGATTATTACCCATTTTCAGAAGTTTCGTGTTAACTTTACATTCTACTCTTTCTTGAGTTACAAAGATATCTTCAACAGCATAATAATTTGGAAAATAGCTTTGTGCATTCATCTGTCCGCCTTCTATATTAGAAATTGATGATAAATTAATAAGTTAGCAAAAATAAATTTTTGGCGCGCTTCGCACAAGTAATCGCAATTGCATGTGGATCGAAAAAAAAAACAGGTGTATATTTAATGGAAATGCCGTCACATTTTTAACTCAAGCTAGTGCATACGCTTCCGCCTTAGATAAAGTGCAATAATTAATAATTTAGAGAGCTGTGTTAACTGAAAAACAAAAATTAGAATATTAAAAACTAGAGGTGGGGAAAACTTTTTGGCCAGTGTGACCGCGCATGATGACGAAAGACACAAGATCACGTATAGGGCATTCGCACGCGGCGATTTTACAGGCAACAAAAGTTGAATACGAAGTTGAATGAGAAG